TTTTCTTATCCTCGCGGCAAAGAGAAGAAGCAACGATTTCTTAGCTTCATCATTATCAACATTCATTCTTTCTTTCTCTCTCGGCCGATTCTGACGTTTACAGTCAGTTTTAAGCACATAAAATGATTCTGATGCTGATGCACTCACCAACACTAGCCTGCATTAGAGATTTTATAAGTATTCAATATTATTTCTTCCCTTGTTCATACTCTCACACCAAGTATCGTGGTACTTATTCTAGTCTAATTACAGCCTGCTGCTTGGAACATGTTTAACGCTTGAACGCCCATCGACGTTAATCCTCCACTGCGTCATCCGCAATTCATTCATCCGCTACGTGTTTACATTATACGTTAACAAACTGCCTCCTGTCTCTTATATCGCCTCTAAAGATCATGTGAATTATCATTCAATAAAATGTCTATCATTACTACCGATACCAAACCTATTGATAGAAAATAGCTTTACAATTTAACTGTTGATAGCTGACTACTATTCATTTTGCTTTTTCCCATCAATCCTCTCACCAATGCAAATGTTTTCAAATCACCTTAATGAATTAGTTTCAATTTCAATGATTATTTAACAAATACACTCAATATTTATTTTTGTTTTCATCTTTTTTTTTTCAACTAATTCCCTCTCACCATTTACTTATTGATTGCTTAATTATATTTTTAATTATTCCTCTGCTTTTGATTCTAGTATTTTTTACAAAATATCTTTTTCTAAAAAATGAAAAAAAAATAATTATTCTGCAGAAAGAATATTTACTTTCGTTGAAGATTGCTTTGAATCTGCCAAAAAAAGCAAGAACCTCAACTACTTTCCTCACTGATGTCTCATCAGCATACAGATATGTAATTTTATCAATTTAACTTGAATAATTTATGTAACGATGATTATCAACAAAGTATAAATTTGCAAAGCGCGTAAGTATCTTATCTTACTGCAACAAATTTAAAAGCAAATGTACCTACATGCTGTATATTCATTATCTAATGTAATAATTATGATGTTAGCGAGTTTTTCCGTTATGTCTTTATCCTATTTATTATGATGATGATCAACGCAGGTTTACTGGATTCCTCCACGCCCGTTTCTCGCTCGACAGACGCAAATTACCTTGCGAATCATCCAGGTCTCTGTCTCTATCTCTTCACCATACCCTCTCATCTACTACATAGCACCTTGGTGAAGATGAGTGCAGTATGTCCTACATGATGATGTCTTGATATGGGATACCATCGTTAATCGCACTTTTAATTCTGCATGGCTTAGTATATCCATTCTTTTTTCTCTTACTACTTTATTTCCTTCGTATTTTCTCTTTCTCTCTTACAATTTCAAAGACGGCTGGTGTATCTTTGGACTCACGCGAGCACACAGTCAAGATAATCGCCAGAACGAGACTGGTTGTCGATTATCTTTATAACCGTCCTCATGCCCACCCGGTTTGTATTCTATTGCTGCTGAAGGTGTATATTACATTAAAGAAAGCGGAAGCTATCATGATGAGGAAGCTAATTCTATTTTATTTTATCTATCCTTTTTTCTATTTACATTTTTCAAGAAATAACGATTACATCTTATGCAAGATGGCAATAAATTGATAGTAATAATAAGTTGTAATGTTTATGATACATATAAACATTGATATTATTTAAAATGTACCAGTTGTGATCATTGAAGAAAGCTTTTTTTATAGATGCAACATCATTTATTAAATGAGATGCATTTGAATTTTTTATGATGGGTCGAATCTTCATTATGATGGTAAATTAAAAATTGTAATTAATAAGATGTAATCAAATAATTATTTTATACCTGTTTTCTTCTTTCAAAATAAATTTATTAAAACAAGTCAATTTTTCAAAGAACCGTCGACAATGATTATTGTCGTATTTTAATGAAGATTAAATATATATAGATTTATTGTTTGGATAAATTAATTATTTTAAACAAGAAGAGTTCTTGGCATTAAAATAATTCATTGTTTGTTAATTTTTCTTAAAATTTCTTGGTGAATTTATTTAATGTAAAGTTTTTCGTTTCCTGATGTTGATTGATAATTGAATAATTCATGAAATGCTAAGTAATTAAAAAAAGATAAATAAAACAATGGAATAATAATACTCTTAAGTAGATAACATCTAATTCGAGCAAGAACACATAAAAAAATTTTGCAGCCGGAAATCAAAGTGAATCTTCCATTAGATACTATTGGTATTTTCTTTCAGTCTTCACGAACCCATTCCTTGATACCTATAATATCAATCGTGTCAAAGAAAACTTGAAAACGCGTCAGCCAAAATGGCTCCCGACTGTCTCGGTACCGGCTCTCCTTGTCTACAGCACGCGATTTCACATAATAAAGCAAGAAAAGTACCCTCGTATGCCCACGCGAAGTGCATACATAAGAGTACTACATGTATATTGACTGCACGTATCTATATGAAGCTCGTGTGCAAGTCTTGGCTTACGAAGCTACATCTCAGCATAACGAGTAAGAAGTTTGGTAGCTGTTTTGTGGCCGACCGCTGTCCATTTCGCGTGCTCGCATGCAACTCTCTTTCCGTTTCTTTCATTCTCCGTGATCTGTGTAATCATGAATGCATGTTTTCTCGCGTATGCTAACAAGTTATCTTTCATTTGATAAGAACAAAAAATTTAATTTTCGTTGAAATTAATTTTTTACAGACAGGTTAAGCGATAAACTCAACAGTATTCACAGCACATCCTCAAGACTTTATCCATCAACACGAGAAGAAAACATTGTTGTAATGTTGGCTATTTATTATCGTGAGGAAGGCAGAGTAATTGCAAGTGTAATCAAACTGCATCAATTTAAATGTCAGTGTTGCTGAATGGAATTGCAGACGAAAATTGTTGTGATAATTCTCTAAATGCTAATGATTGTAGAAAAGTAGGTAATTTTATATAATGAAATTCACTATAATCTAACGAATTTAAAATAAATTATTGTTTACTTGGCACTCTAAGTGGAAAGGAAAAATAGAATCTTAAAAAAAAGTCAAATAATTGTTTTCAATACACTCAAAAGCCTATGAGTAAATATTAAACCAACAATTAAATATATGTAATGCAGGTCATTGTGAAGATCTAAAACAGGAGCAAATATGAAAATTATGGGTAAAGTACTTTGGACTACAAAGATGTTTGATTAGAGAAGATGAAAAGAAAATAAGGGCTAATGGAGAATCAACACGTCAGGTCAAAATGATGACTAGAATAAGATTTGGAAATTCCCATAAGTGTCGCAAATGAGAGCATGAGGTTGAGAAAGTAAAACATAAGTGGCGCCTACGTCTGAAATGTCCCATTTCGAAAGGTCCATATGAGATACCTGTGACCAAAAAGCTGCCACATCGTGGTAACGTTTTAAACGGAAGCAGCTGTGTCATATTCTCTCGTTTTTGCTTTTATCTTTTATGCTCCTCTGAATCTTCAAACCGACCTTATTCACCTCTACTTATCCCACGTGTCGGCATTCCTTTGGTTTGCTTATTCAAAGTGTCTGTTTGTCATCCTCAAGATCATCATCACTGTATGATTGTGGTGTCCCTAGAGTACTTGAGCAATTACATCTGAATGTGTCTGTGAAATCTTCTAATAGACAGAGCACCAAGTACTTAAATAAAAAAATGAAGAGTTTAACATTGTTTACTTAGTTCGTATTTTTCAGGATCTCTTGACTCCAACACCAAGTTTGTACTAATTCGCACGACTAAAGAAAACTGGCTGTGGTCTAGAGTCAATATTCTCAAGAGTCTCCAAACGTGCTTCGTTGGAGGTTAATCAGAGATAGTTCACGTTCAAAGGAAAGAAAGAAATTGAAGAAGTGGAGTCGACGACTGAAGTCAGGCTTAAGAGCCAGGAAATTCCGGTTACATCAGGCAATCTACAAAAAGATGATGGATAAGCATTGGTCCGAAATAAATAGCAAAAATCAGACTAATGCTGATCCTCATATGGACATGTACGTTCAACAGCATAAAGACCAGGTGAAGTAGCATCTCTATTAGCCCTTGTAGAAGGGTTCATTCAAAATTTTCTGGGTCTCTGAACAAACTGGATGTCGAAGGATCACAAGTCTTTAAAGTCTTCTCAAAGGCAAAAGCTCTTCTCTCTTCCTTATATTCCTGCTCTTCCTTTACCTATAGTCTAACATATATATGTATATAGATCTATAGGTGGGGTATTCGTAGCGACCGCATTACCGTTCGTTGAGTGAACGAGCAAACGAGGCAGAGCGACAAGAGGAGGAAGACCAAAGCAGTCTAAAGGAAAAGGAGTGAGCAGAAAAAAACAGAGAACGAGCGCGACAACAACGGAACCTGGTGAAGGAAAAAAGCAAGATGAAGAAGAGGTGAGGGAGAGAAAAAAATGAGAGAAGAAAGAGAAAGAGAGAGAAACGACTAGTGAGGCTGAGAAAAAGTAGCCTGACAAAGGTCGGCTGCCATGCACACTGCTCGGCCGCAAGCTAGCAGCCATTGACATCGAGGTTCAGCAAAAGAGGACTAGATTTCACGAGCCAGCGATGCAAGATGCTTCAAAGGGCGCCGACGCGACCGCAAAAGGGATTCGCGGGAACGGCGGTGAGGGAGGCTCCACGTAAGCGCGGGTGGTGGTTTGTCTGCTTACTCCAACTACCCTACATCAGAGCAGAGCTAAGGAATGAACTTGCTTGAGGGAGAAAAAGAAAGACGAATTAAGGACAACTGCTATGAGAAAATAAAGCCAAAGAATGTCTAGCTGATTTCAATCTTCTGATAACTTGATCCTGCATTTATTTTTGATGCTCAGTCGATAACAGTTTTGGTAATGACGAATGTCCACTATTTTCAAATGACTCATTATTGACATAAGCGATTATCATATGCAGGAATATATATTGGGTTAATTTTTAGTACTTGAAGCTGAGGTCTGGGATAACTTAAATGCTAGTAGTAAGTGATTGGTTGGTTGGCGTTACGTACAGTACTTACATAGCCGTGCTTGTCGCTCATGTTGTTGGTTAACTTGAGCTTGTGGAAGCTCACGACTTTCTGCATCCATTGTTCGCCACTGCTAGGAGAGTCTGGGTGTATGTACATCCTCTTAGGCATTTCTGGATCCGCTTTTCCCGCTACCATCCACCTACTACTCTCAACAATTAAAAATACAAAGATTATTAAATGCCTTTCATTCTCTATAAGTATTGAATTTAATTAGCTATATTACATCTGAATAGTATCATATTTTCTTCAGCATATTAAATACCAAGGTTGAATGATACTTTTATAGAGTAATTGAAATTTATCATATTGAAGAAAACATGATTTATTGCTATTGCCTGATCGTGATGGAGATAAATATAAATTATAGAAGAACTTAAGCGTCCATAATTTAACATAATAAACAATCTTTATAACTCTATTATTACTAATTGACGTAAACGTCTTTATTAATGAAAATTAGTAGCATTGACTTGATTTCATCCTATCTCCATCAACGATTATCAGAGCTTGCGATTCCCATACCCGTCAAAAATTACTCCAACATCCTTGAAAAATTATTAGGATGAAGTTAATTTTTGATTTATTATTTTAACAAGCTGCTAAACAGTTGATAACAACATTTAAATATTTTTTAATGAGGCAATAAAACAGTAATGCTTGTTTTTTTATGAATAAAATTAATTCATGAGGATATAAAATTTTCAACGAGTATGAGAAATTGTTCGCAGTGCACGCTCCACATTTATTACGCGAGGGAATCTTAATTTTTATGTTAAAAGTCGTTTATTTGAAAAAGAATTTCATCCGAATAATCACCTGTTGTGAAATTTATATCGGTACTCATCAGATGCCGCAATGTCCATCAGAAGTATGTAGCTAGCCTTTTTGTCTAACCCGGACACCCTCACTTTAAAAGCGGGAAACATGCGTCTGCGAACAATTTGCAATTGCAAGAAAACAACATTGCCAATTAGTTGATTTCTTTCGTCCACTATTGTTTTTTTGTTTTTAAAAAATTTCTTTCATTCAAATTGCAGTAACATTGATATTATTAAATAAAACACATCATGAAATATTGATTATCAATTGTGGACAAACTATCTTGGATCCTTCTCCAATGGGCAATGAAGTATGATGTCTATGTTGGTATAATCCTCCAGCAAAGTGTGTACCTGTTATGAAATTTGTATCTGTAGTCATCAGCTGCAACGATGTCCAACAGTAGGATGTACTTGGCTTTAGCATCAAGTCCGGAAACTCGGAACTTCATTTGCGGGAACATCTGCCTAGACCCCGGATCAACATTTACATACAGATTAGAATGTTTTATATAATAGATCTTAATAAATGCGTACAGACATAGTAATTATACGTTAGGGATTAATTGCAAGAGTATTCTTAACAGAGGTGTCGCGTTCGTCGGATCATGAGGTAATTCATGATTCAGCCATATGTTGAATTACAACATCTCCATATTATTTACTGAAATGGTTATAATAGGCTTAAGAGTACCCTTTCGTTGGAAATAAACATGAAATTTATTCATTAGCTCGAGACACATAAATAGTAGCAGAGGGAAGTAAATTAGCCTAAAATAGAGCCGGACGACTATTCGATCCAGTTATAGAGCCTGACTATAGTCGACAAGTCCGACGGCAGCCATCTTGGCTTGCCCTGTCCCTGAGAATCCATGTCGCGTTTCTTCGAACTAGAAGTCTTGTAAAGGCCGAAATGCTAAACAACCAGCAACGAGCTTGACAGACTGAAAGTATGGCGACAGCAACAAAGAAAGAGAGCTGAGGGGAAAAGAATCGAAAGTAACGAGATAATAAAATTGTCGAGGCGACACACGGAATTCATTGGTGAAACAGGGCGCGTTTGACGTTGATCCTATATGTGCAGACCACCCTCCATGTTCAACAAATCAATGGAGAGCATTTTGCAAAGGTTACAAGATTGCTATAACTATTATTTTGTTTCTCTTTGATACTCTTCAATATGTTTTTAAGGAAACTGCGCGAGTGCTTTTTTACATGCACAACATATGGACTTGACTTAATGTTTATTTCATTATGGCACGATTTAATGACTGGGAATTTCTTTTAGAATGAATTTAGAAACTCTACATGTATCCTGGTTTTTCCTTCATTTGATTGAAAATTACTTAGTAAATTAAACAACGATTCAGAGAATTTTTTTTTTTGCACTCTTTTTGAATCTTGTTCTATGAACTAAAATACATTAGATGAATGGTACAATAATCATCTAAAACTCTAGAATAGTATCTGATCAAATAGATTTAATGAGTAAAACTTATTAATTATGATTTAGTTATTAAATTTTCAAAATCAATACATTTTATTCTTCAGCCTAAATTGGTTAAAATAATTTATTAAGCTTTAATCATAAAGAATCATTGAAAGAAAAAAAAAAGTATTGAAAAATTGTGCTTTAAAAAGATTTTTACACAAAGATGTATTTAAGTTTTTTACTGAACTGCTATTTGTTTCGGTATATTAAACATATATGATAAATTACAACGACATAGAATAGTTTTTAGTGCATTAAAGAGATACCATAGTCTCCATTATAGTTATCTAACGAGCGAAAATGTTGTGAAAAAATGAATAAAAGTGTCACCGCAGGGTAGGAAAGTGCTCAATAGAAATTTCCAGGAGCATCTGCCCACTGTTGGTCGAGATTTACTTTGAATGTCGGCGCGAAGAGTCGCGCGAACTTGGTGATGTTGGAGAGGATTGATGAGAGGGAAAAGGGCGAGAAAAAGGGAGCACGTAGAATAGTCGTGTCGCTAGCCAAGTTCTCATTTATGCCTCGGTGGACCCTCAAGAGGATTCTAAGCTGGATTATCCACGCGAGCAAAAACATCCCGCAGGTTTTTCTTACTACTAAAAAATGCACACAACCATGGAATATTTTACATTCATTTTCTCTGTAATTATTATATATATATTTTTTATGCCATGTTTTAATTTAGTTATTACATATACATATTTTTTAAGTAAAATTTATCAAAGCAATTCCTTTTCACTAATTTTTTTAATGGCGAAAGGATAAAAATGTAATCAGATATTGAGCTCAAAAAATGTTGGCTCTTCACACGAAATATAAATGAGTTCTTGTAATAATAATCTTCAACAATCTTCCTAATTACGAAATCATAAACACTTGGCTGGAATATTATGTGATCATTCATTTTATGAGACCCAAGCATAAAATATGAGTCAGGCGCCAACAAGACGCGAAGATGATTCGACTCTGAGAAAGGGCTCTGAAGTTATTCCGACGTTCTAAAAATTCTATTCACAGAAGGTGTCGACAATTTTAATTTTTAATAGCCCCCGCTATTAAATATATGAAAAGAAAAAATTATTACTAACTCTAGTCAATCTTACAAATAAATTATATCTTCAGGTGTAATAAATTATACTAAAATATTTACACTTTTTATGACATTTAAATTTTGAAAATAGTGAAAAAAATTAATTTATTTAAATTGAAAAAAAATTTCTGAGAATGCATCAAATAAGAAATTTATTAAAAATAAATAATATAACGATAAATTGGACGTAAAATTGCTGGAGTTTATTTCTAGGCAATATGGAAGATAATAAATAGTCATTAAAACTCTGGAACCAAGATCACAATCATTCCAGTACATCGTGTATAAACGGTATTGTCAATAAATCGAACTAAATTGTTATTTATGGTTGATCATTAGTGATGGAGAGAAAAATAAACTGCAGTAGCATCAAGAATAAATTCATTTTATTATACCTTGACTTGTTCCTCTCATTCGCACCAGTTTTATAATTTATATTTCTATCACAATAATTATTTTAAATCCTTCCAGCTATAAGATTCCTTGTTACTACATTTTTTTTTGTTTTTAACCAGTAAAATTTCATTGTTAATCGATAAAAAAATTCTAGAGTCCAGTTTATAGACTTCGATCGATTGTCTACAAAAAATTATCCATATGCAAGAAGTAGAAAAAAAGGCTGGTAGATAATAAGAGTGAGGAAAGAAGAGAAATATAAGAGAAAAAGTGAAAGAGTCGGCGTGTCCTCTCGACTGTTGTCGAACAAATCGGTACAAACGATCGTTGTAAAGCAGTTAAGGTTGAGTTTATATGTAGCTCTGAACCTCCAATGCATTGGAGTCTTCTGCTTACCGAAGGGAGATGAGCAAGACGATAGGGAAACCGATAGTCGCCGGTCTTTACTTCTCATTCTTTTCTTTCCCTTTTTCTCTGTATACCTATTCCTCTCACTTGAACATTATCGTCCTTCTGTTCTCAACAAGAACCCCCGCAGAGTCAGCAAACCGATATTTTCAAGTCACGACTATTTTCTTTACGTCATTTTTTACTACTTTTGTTCATTTTTTGTCCTTGAAAAAGTGACGAAAAACGGATAGACGACGTTATTCAAACACTTTAAGTCGGTCAGCTTTTTAATAGAAGTGAAGAAAATGTAGTGTCTGAGTTTCTTTACGTCTAAATTTACGTACTCCAAAAGAAATGGAATAGGTGAGTTACAAAGTGGAACTTCAATTTAGGGTCTTCAATAATGAGTGGGTGAATTTTTTGTAAGCAATAGGTCTCTTTGTAGAGAAATGTTTGTAAAGGAAGGTATACTTGAGTTTAATATTTAAATTACAGTTCAGACTTTTATTCAATAAATCGAAGTTTTTTTTTGTTATCAACAATTTTGTTCTACCAATCGATTATTTATTGCTCTAGATTTCATATTTAGACCACTGGATAATAATTTATTGAACACTAAATTATCATTTAAAATATTTGATACATTGATTTTAGTTATGAAAAAGATGAATATGAAACTTTATTGATTAGTAATTAAATAAAATTTTCAAAAATCTACCTAGAAAAATTCTTATTTTGGAGTAAAATTGATTTTTACTGATTTCATTTTATTACTAAAAAAATACATTTAATTTTTCTAGTGTTTTTATTTTTTATTTTCAACTAAAGATTGTCAGTGGTCGAAGTTTCGTAAGAATATCAATAATTTAACAACATTCGCAATTATTTTAATATCCATAATTGCTTTCTATCTGAGAAATAGGCTCAATAGACATAAAATTTCAAACGATAACTGCAGCAAAAACAAGTTGTTCTTACTGAAATCACATACTCGAAACGGAAATGAAAAAGCACAGAAATGTATTGTATTACGCTCATGTGAATATGGCCAATGAACATTTTATTGAATTCTATAATTAAAGTATTGTACATAAAGTTCAAGCTTTATTCTATAAATATTTACCAAAATCGTTCAATACCGGAAGTAATTAACCGTAACATATTTTGACGTCAACAATAGGATGGAGTTGTATTTCGTGATAGTGAAGTTGTTTGAATAATGCTTTTTAAATTGCCATACTAACAAGTTTCAAGCATTCAAGTATTACGTATTTTTTTATTATAATCATAGGTATAAACCTCCTACTACTCATTTCAAGATATATTTTGCTTTAAAAAATCCTATAGCTATGTCTTGGCTCCTAAATCTATTGAAACTATTACTTCAAGAGCTCTCTTCTCTATTTCGAAAAAAAAAACAAAATATTCTTTCTCAAATCGCTGCTGTGAACTTGCAAATAACGAGAATACAATTAACTAAATTGCTGTAACTTAGACGTGTAATAAATTTCTCCAAGGTCAAGGAATACGGAAAGTAGATTCTATCTTTTAAGGACTTGAGTCTTCCTATACTTTTGCTCTGCAAATGGAAAATGACTTAAATTTTCTCGTTGAGAAGAATTTTTTTAAATGATTTTTTGTCATTATACTTTATTCTTCATTGTAATAACCATGTCAACTTTCATATAAATATTTACTGACCAACTGACTAGATCACTCATCCACAGCAAATGAATATGATTTGAATAATGAGATATCGTAAAAGTAATTAATCAGTCCCAAAGGTTCCTTTGAAGAATTTTAATAAGCATCACCCCCTTTTTACCATCTGCCAAAGTTGTGATGCTTCTCAAGAATGTTAAATTAATTCAGTGATTAATTTTTTATTTCAAAGCATGCAAAGCGATTTATGTAGAAAAAATATTTTATGTAGCAGCAATGATCGGATTAATATAAAACTTTTAGACCACCCGTTACACTTGGTGGTTTTCTCACACCTCGAAAAGAGGGCGTTCCGAAGAGAAACAAGTCTGAAGATGATTTTAGACTAATAAGAAGGCTTATAACGTGACTCAGGGTCGTGCATGCAAGATGATGTTA